AAACTGTTTTACTCTTTTAAAAAAAATCTTCATTGGGGGCTGGGGTTGTATCTCAGTAGAGCACTTGCATGAGGCATGCATGAAGCACTGGGTTTGATCCTTAGCACCATATAAAAATAAAATAAAGGTATTGTGTCCACCTACAACTAAAAATATTTTTAAAAATCTTTTTTGTTCATGTCCATTATTAGAGCAGAAATTGATAATTTGCACTGTGGGCTTAAAAGTATTAATGATGATTAAGTTTAATTGATTACAACACTATTGTCATTAGAAGAGATAAAGAAGAAATTCAAAAGAGATGAGAAAGGGATGCTTTCAGAATCCTAACCTTAGTAACAGAGAACCATTAACATACATGTTAAAGTATAAATAGAGGAGGATTGAGAGTTAATATTAGATTATCCTTTTTATCTTAAAGAAGTATCCACTGATTAAAATTGTCATATTATGCATAAAAAAATCTCCTTAGAATGATTCAAGTGCTATCTTATACCCACACTATTGATTGGATTATAAATTCATGCTAAATTTCTGGGATGATATGTATCAAAAGTCTTCCAAGTTGTCCACCGTTTTCTGCAGCAATTTAATTGTTAGGACTTTTTTTCCTATTGTATATTAAGAATGTACACAAAGGTTATGTTATAGGTTAATATAAAACATTTAAATGACATGAATGTTAAACACTTTATTAAAATTATAAGTGATCTATTTTGAGTACAGTAGAATTGGTTAAATAAGTTACCACAATAGTGTATATAGTCAATGTTATATGGTCACAATTCAGGATCATGTAAAGGAATATTTGTAGTATGAAAGGGTTCAGGATACAGCACTAAGTAAGAAAAGGAAGAAAAGCAGAAGAAAAAGTATTAAAATTTCATATACATTTTATACACACAGATGCAAACATAAGAATCAAACACACCAATGTATTAAGTGCTTTAAACAGTTATTTAGAGTACTGGAGAGTAGGTAAAATCCTTCCCCACTCCCAACCTCCCCTTCTCCCTCCCTTCTCTTGCCTCCTCCTCTTCTTCCTCTCTCTTAGTTTCTTCTGTTTCATGAGCATTCGGACATTTGTTACTTTTAGATTCTGAACAAATTACACTGCTTTGTCAGAGTAACTTTTCCATAAATTTTGCTGTTTGGATTTTTCTTCGTGATTTGGGTGGAAAATAAAGTGAAATGGTATGTTCTCTTTTCCACTTCTTTTGGGATTCCAGGTTTTCTTCTTCCACAGAAGAAGGGGGTGGGGGGAAGATAGGAGAGGAGGACTTTTCAGAAGTAGGCCCAGAAGCCATTCTGCTCCTTTATTCCTCTTCAGAACACAGATTTCTTTTAATTAAAGCATTTCTGTTTCTTTTTGCATGTTCTGCTAATTGAGGGACTGTTGTGGACAAATAAGTCAGATATTTTCTATACAATGTTTCATGGTCTTAAAATGTTGTGTATTCCTTCTCCTCAACAGTTAATAAGAAATTCATTTTAGCTTTAACATGAAAAAGTAAAATGATTCATAGCTTCTCATATGTCATATCATTTTTCTAAAAGTTAATAAATCTAGGCTTTTTAATTGTCTAGTTAATTTTTGCATAAAAAAAATTAAGGGGTCAAAACCAAGCTATGTTTAAAAGCCAAGATAAGAAAGGTGGCAGCAGAAAAAAATGATCAATAATGATCAAAAGCAATTGCCTGTCACTTCTAAAACTGACAATTCTAGATCTGAGGTAGTCTTCTGATATTGAAGTCTACATAGTTCATTGCAGATTAGGACGTGCTGAGAAACTGGTAGGGGCAGAATATTATTGAGATTTGCTATACTAACATTTTATAGAGCCTACCATCAAACACATTGTTCAAGTTTTGAGAACATTAAGTTTGTGGGAGGTAAGTGGAGTTTTTACTACAGTAACTCCATCTTCAGTCAATCCTTTTTGTTTGTTTGGTACCAGGGATTGAACCCAGGGGTACTTAGCCACTGAGCAACATTCCCAGCCCTTTACTATTTTTATTTTGAGATAGGGCCTTGCTGAGGCTAGCCTCCAACTTGAAATCCTCCTGCATTGGCATTCTGGGTTGCTGGGATTACAGGTGTGCACCACAAATCCCATAAGTGCAATCATCACTGATGCTTTGTGCATTCTGAAGAAACTGATGTTAGAACCACCTTTTTGACCTTATGTCTTTCAACTAATTTCTCCACTTTTGGGATTTTGCATGCCCCAAACTGGATGTCAGGGGTGCTGGGTCCTAAATTCAGTGCTGGGTCTACTTGAAGGGTGAATATAGGGAACAGCATGGTTTTATTTTCACAAAGGGCAGCTAAATCCTGTAAGAGAGAAGTCATGGCAAAGAAAAGGGGAGTCCATTGAAACCGAAGTTATGGGCAGCATTCAGGAATCCCAACAATGACTTATAGTTGGTTACGTGTCAAGAGAAGCCACTTCCAGAGAGCTGAAACCTATGGGATAAAGAACAAAGTGGATACTGGAAGATCAAGTTCTCAGAACTCCAGTGACAAGTGTGTGTGGGAGGGAGACACAAAATTATGGGACTTTGAGCGGTTTGATTTTTACAGATGTTGGGAAACATACATTTTTGTATCTATTATTGTTACTCTGGCCTTATTCTCAGCCTGTTCTCATCTGGAAAATGGATTTTTAAAAAAATGTCCATTTGGAAAGAGCAGGGAGAGAAGTTTATGACATAGCACATACAAAAGGCACACGTAAGTGGGCTTTTTGTCCCTATGTTATGGTTTAAATGTGAGGTATCCCCCCAAAATTCATGTGGGAAATAATGCAAGAAGCTTAGATGTGAAAGGATTGGGTTATAAGAACCTAAAACGAATTAGTGCATTAACCCTCTGATAGAGATTTACTGGGTGTTAACTGCAGACAGGTAGGGTGTGCTGAAAAAAGGTAGGTCATTGGGGGCATACCCGGGGAAGTCTCTCAGCTTCCTGGTGCCATGTTCTGAATTGCTTCCCTTTGCCACACTCTTCTGCCATAATGTTCTGCCTCACCTGGAGCCTAGAGTGATGGAATCAGCCATGTATGGACTGAGACCATTGAAACGGTGAGCCCCCAAATAACCTTTTTTTTTTTTGTCTCTAAAGTTGTTCTTTTCAGGTCTTTTGGTCACAGCAATGAAAAAGTTTACAAAAATAAACAATAAGCACTGGGAACTAAGGGCATGTTTCAGAGAAACACAACAGTTATGAGGAAATCATTGAGCAAAGATGGAAAAAAATTTTCATCTTCAAAATAAGAATTTGCCATTCATGTGTCAGACCAATAAATGATATGGCACTTGGAGTGATCAAATTTATCCCTTCCAGGTGCACCTGAGCATTGGATACATATGATGGAAATATTCTTTGGTGTTAACATTGCTTTCTTAGTACTGTACAGCTAGTCACCTTGATGACATTTGCATCTAATTTGGAAAATATTTTTTTAAAACCAATAACAACTTCAAGATAGAATAAAAAATTCTACACACCTAACAGCTCCTTCCTATCACGTGAATGTGTAAATTGAATTCCTTCCCAAGATAAAGTTTAAAAAAAACAAAAAAACAAACAAACAAACAAACAACAACAACAACAAAAAAAAAAAACAAGACAAAACAAAACAAAAAAAACCCCCCAAAGATTGGTTTCCCAAAAATGTTTTCATTGGCTTTAGGGAACTAAAATACACCAGTGTATGGGTGACTAATACTTCCTGTATAATAAAGATAGATCAACACATAATTAAGTTCTGGCTCAAATATAATTGTTGTCCTGGAAACAGTTTTGGGGATGAATGTGGTTATGTTAACGAAACTCCTCACGATTTCCACCAATGATCCAATTTATTAATTAGGCCAGATCATATAGTTACCTTGTGCTGCCCATTTAAAAAAGGTTTAGGAAAAAAAAAATCAAAGAAACACACATACAAAATTTCCTGAGAGAACACTGGGGAGAGAGAGAGAGAAAAAAAAAAAGGAATAAATCGCTGATCAGTTATTAGCCCTTGTCCTTACTTCCAGCTGAAGTAGATTGAAAGTGCTTCTTGGATTTCTTGTGGGTTTCAAAGATCCTTCTTGCCTCACTGGGCAGAAAACACTAGTATATAACAGCATTTTGAATAATCCTTAGCATTGTGTCTTCCAATCCAACATCCTTAAGCAGTCAGCCTTTTTTAGTTCCAGCTCGCAATAATATTCAGTAGTTTTGTAGGAAGTTCTACTTAATGTGTAGCCCAAAGGGGCGTCTGCCTGACCTGAAGGGTTTTGTTGAGACCCAGTGTGAACTCTGGGCGCCAGAGCGCATCTCAGCTCTTTAGATCACACCCACTCGGGTGTGTGAGTGTGTGCGCGGGTGCCTACGCGCGTGTGTACGTGTGGGGAGGTGTGCGCCAGAGGGGTGGGGTGAGGGGTGGCGAGGAGGGCTCTAGGTGAAGCTCGAGGAGAGGGAGGTCGCCGGCTCCGGCCTCTCCCCCAGGGGCCCAGGCGGCTGGCTCGAGCTCCAGCACCTACTGGTGCGCGCAGCCGCGGCGCCACAGGCCCCTAGACTCTCCGACCACCGCCCCCCGGCCCCGCGTCCCGCCGCCGGGACCCGCGATGGCGCGGGACTGACGGCCGCCTCCTCTGGGACTCCTCTGCCCCGCCCAGGGTTCGCGGGGGCCGCGGCACCGCCCCAACCTGCATGTGGGGCGGGCGCCCCCGCGCCCCGAGCGAGCGGCCCTCCGCGCCCCCGAGGCGGTGCCTGGCCGCGCCAGAGGACGAGAAGGAGGAGCGGCGGGCCGGGCCGGGCTCCCCACGCACCGCGGCCCGGGAGCACGGGCTCCCTGGAGGGAGCTTGGGGCGTCCCAGCCCCGGAGGAGGGACCCGGAAGCAGAAGCGGAGCCGCGAGTGGAGCCGAGCCGCTGCCCCCGCTGCCCGCCGGCGCCGGGTGGGGGTCCCGGCGGCTGGATGGGCAGCGGCGGCGCGGGCCGCGGGCGGCGATGGGCGAGGAGCAGAGCACGGTGAGCGGCGGCGGCGGGCCCCAGGAGGCGCGGGGCCCGGACGGGGGCTCCGCGGGCCACCCTGAGTCCCCGAGGCCGCGGGGGGACAGCGCCGGGGCTCCCGGGCCGCTCGGCGACTCCTCGGAGTCGAGCGGCGGCGGCTGCGGAAGCGACTCAAGCTGTGCGGACACAAGCGCCCCGGAGCCCACGAGGAGCCGGGGAGCGCCCGAGTGGAGGAAGAGCCAAGCACTCGGGCAGCCCGCGGGACTGGCACTCACCGGGCCCCTCAATCCCCAGACTTTGCAACTGCAGCTGAAGCAGGAGGAAGAGGAGGAGGAAGCTGGGGACAGAAAAGAGAGAGGGGATGAACAGCAGGAGGCGTCCCCCAGGGAGGAGACGGAGCCCAGGACCCACGCCGTGGCTCCCGATGGAGTGGTCTTGGACGTGCTGGGTCAGCGGCGCCTGCCCCCAGCCAAGAGACAAGTCTTTTGCTCTGTGTACTGCGTGGAGAGCGACCTGCCGGAGGTCCCCACCGCCGAGAAGCTCTCGCCACCGGCATCGCCACTTGGGGCTCCGCAGGTGCCCAACACCTCCAACCCCCAGTCCTCCTTCCCCAGCCCCAGGCTGTCACTCCCAGCTGACCCCCTTTCCCCCGACGGCGGCAGCATCGAGCTGGAGTTCTACCTGGCGCCCGAGCCATTCTCTGTGCCGGGCCTGTTAGGAGCTCCACCCTACTCTGGCCTGGGCGGGGTAGGTGATCCCTATGCGCCCCTCACGGTGCTGATGTGCCGGGTGTGCCTGGAAGACAAACCCATCAAGCCCCTGCCCTGCTGCAAGAAGGCCGTGTGCGATGAGTGCCTCAAAGTCTACCTGAGCTCCCAGGTAATGTCACCATTTTTGTACTCTCTCTGCTTCCCTTTCATCATTTCAAATCTCTGGCAAGGAGGTCCCCTTTCAAGCTACCTACTAAGGGAAGAGCTGACAGCACACATTAATGAAGACTGTAAGATCACACGAGGCAGGTAGCCACCAAAGGAAGCAGATTTAAAAAGGCCACCGAAGGAGGCTTTATTGAGATATCACTCCATCAGACCACAGAGTGGTCAGGAGAAGGGTCTGAGGAGAAACCACAGTGGGAGCTCTACTGGAATGGAATTTTATGGGGCTCACTGCAGGAAGAGAAGGGATTGGGACAGGAAAGGGGATTTTTAGGGTCCCTTGTCCTGCTGGAGTTGGTCATGGGAGCTGGCTGAACTCCAGGATTGGTCAGGGGGTCCTGCTGGTTGACAGGCATTAATCAGGAGATCCTGCTGATTGACAGGCATTTTGGCTGGCGCCTGATTGATGTTTCCTTTCCCTCGTGGGCTGCAGTCTCTGCCACTGACCTAACATCCCGGGCCTTTGGGCCTTTTTGGTGATACAGGTCAGCTAATTTCGTCTAGCTACTTCCTGCTGCTTAGGGGGCTGGGGCAAGGGGATGGCTCCCGTGTAGGTTCGGTGGGTAGGCGACTGCAGGGGTGTAGGAGCATCTGGTTGTAGGTCACTCTAGCAATTTCACTCAAGCGCTTTTGAGCTAACCTGAGGAGGCAGGGAGCAATCATTAATAGAAGTCCTATTACTACTATAGGAGTGAGAATGGGAGTCAGCCACGCAATGAGGGTTGAGTTTAGCCAGCCTGGCCAAGGGTCATTTGATTGTTGCTGTTTAAGCCTTTCACCCAAATGACGGAGGGTGTCAACATTCTCTTCGATCGATCCAGTTTCATTGATATAATAGCAGCATTCTTCTTTCAGGAACAGGCAGGTTCCTCCTTTGTCTGCTGTCAGAAGATCTAGAGCTGAGACTTGGGCAAGAGATGTTATTTGCCTTTGTAGGGAAGCGACTGATGCCTCTACTGCTTCCTGAAGTTGTTATTCAAGCTTTTGAGTAGCGGTTACTGCATAACCAAGTCCTCCTGCCCCGAGTCCAGAGGCAGCAAGGGAGGAGGCTAGGGAAAGTCTAACTACTAGTGGTAGAAAGACTGGAAAAGGAGGTAGTAACAAGTCCTGGAAAGGGAGATAGTAACAAGCCATGTTAATTCAGTCTCACTGTACAGAGTTAATTGGGGGACCAATGTGGAAGGAACACAAAAAGCAAACAGCATGTTGAGGCTTAGATTTTTTGTTAGGGTACCATTGCACCAGAAAAAGAACCCAGGTGGAGCAAGGTTAAGGAAGAAATTCGAACAGTCTGGTCACAGGGTGCTTAACTGAGGAAGTGTAGCAGCAAGAGAAATTCCCTGATGAATTACAAAAAAGAGGTACTTCCTCAAAGGCTGGAGAGGGGGGTCCTTGGGGTCTAGTTGAGGTATTGAGCAGAAAATCAATGGGAATCGCGGTTAATGGAGTATGATCCAAACCTGCGCAGAGGAAACAGTCTGAAATGTTATTAACTTTGGACAAATTGAGAAGCTGAAGGCCCTGATGATTAGGGCCATCCATGAGAAAGGGTCAGCTTTAGGATGGGCAACTGTATCCAGCTGGTGTTGGAGTTCCTTCTCTTGCTCCTGGATGGTTATGTGAATTTGAGGGAACACTTGTATATAAGTTCTCCATATTCTGATAGAGGCTGAGGGGTGTTTGGCAAAACCCCAAGAATAAAATTTACCATCAACACCAGAAGCCCATTTTGGGTCCCATGGGTCCCAAATAGTTAATTTGGTGTACGCTTGATTCTCATAACAAACTTATGTAGGAAATGTTTCTTTCATGAAGTATAAGGGCACCCGCCATAGGTGTCAGGCCAGTGCTTACAGGATTCTTCAGTTTGGTGTATTATGAAGCATAGCATTGCTGAACTTAAGTGGGACGAGGTGGCCTGGTTGAATCCAGTAATATTAAGGGTGACGGCCCAATTACAGCCAGTGAAAGGGCAATCGCCTTGACCCATAAACTGAGAGCTGGTGGTGCCATCCTGCTGCCATGTTGCTTGGATGTAGAAACACCATCTATGGGTTGGGATAGAAGCTTGAGAGAGATTAATGATTAGTAATACAAGGAGAGGGTTGGCAAGAAATCTTGAGTTTGGTGGGCCCCAACATGGTGGAAGTCCAGGACTGGACATTTGGAACAGGTGCTTTTTTTAAGGCAGGAGACATGGTACGGGGGAGTGGCCCAAGAGCTGCCGTTGGGATAGCAAGTATGACTGTATGGGGTCCTGTCCAGCGAGGTTTCAACAACTGAGGATGCAGCTCTCGAGTTAAGACTATGTCACCCAGTTGAAGAGGGTCCGATTCAATTCCTGGTTGTGCTGGGACAGAAGTAACGGATGGTGCAGGAAGACACCCGTCTGCGTGTTCCCTTAGGAGTTTATGTAGAAGTGTGAGATAGGGCAGGTAGGACACAAGGGGAGGAGGAGTGACAGGAAAGTTTTGGTTGATTAAGAAAGGGCACCCATAGAGCAGCTAAAAGGGGCTAAGGCCTGAGGGGGCTCTAGGGGTTGCCTGAATTCGGGTGAGGGCCAATGGCAGAAGATTGGGCCAGGGCAGTCTGAGTTCAATAGCAAGTTTAGTGAGATGATCCTTGAGAATGCCGTTAGCCCTCTCAATTTTACCAGAGGATTGGGGTCGGTGAGGGATGTGGAGCCTCCAAGTGATGTTGAAGCCTTTGGAAACTAGTTGAACAACCTGAGAATTGAAGGCTGGACCATTGTCTGACTGAATGGTGGCGGGAAGTCCAAACCTGGGAATGATCTGCTCAATGAGGATGGAGGCGACGGTGTCAGCAGTTTCCCTGGAGGTCGGGAAGGCTTCTGTCCAACCTGAAAAAGTATCAACCAAAGTAAGTAGGTAGCGCAGCTTTTTGTGCCTAGGCATGTGAGTGAAGTCAATCTACCAGTCTTCGCCTGGTTGGTGGCCTCTCATCTGATGTGTAGGGAGTTTAGGTTTGATGCCCCCTAGTGGGGATACTGTAGAGCAGACAGAACAAGCCCAGTGGACCTGCTGGAGGGTGGTTCTCATTCCTGGGAAGTAGAAGAGGGGTTGTAAAAACTGGAAAAGGGGCTTGGGGCCAATAAGAAGAGAGTTATGTATGTCTATCAATAGGCTGTAAGCTTGCTGTTTAGGGAGGGCAATTTTATCCCCCAGGAAAATCCAGCCATCCTTCCTGAAATGGCCACCTTGGGTTATTAGGTCCTGTCGTTCCTGTGGAGAATACTTAGGCTTAATTGTGGTGGATAAAAATAAGATAGAAGCTGCTGAGAATTTTGTTGTTAGTTCCCATGGCTATAGAGTCTGCTTTGTTGTTGCCTATAGCTATAGGGTCAGAGGGATTTTTATGTCCTCTGCAGTGTATGATGGCCACTCGTGATGGCAGTTGTAGTACCTGTAAGAGCTTGGAGATGAGAGAGGCATTGACCACTGGTGATCCTTTTGTGGTCAAGAATCCTCGTTCCTTCCAAATAGCTGAATATGAATGAGCAATTAGGAAGGCATATTTGGAATCTGTATATATGTTAACCTGTTTGCCTTTGGATAAAGTAAGAGCCCTGATAAGTGAGAAAAGTTCAGCCTTCTGGGAGGTGGTTCCTTCAGGAAGGAAGCCGGCTTTCAGAATTGAGGCAGCAGTGAGTACTGCATATGCAGATCTACGGTGTCCGTCACGGCCCATCACTGAACTGCCATCCACAGAAATGGTTAAGTCAGGTGAGGGAAGTGGGTCATCAAAGAGGTCCTCATGGGGTGATCAAAGGGCCTCTAGCACCTGTGGACAGGAGTGGTTAGCACTTGAGGGGGCCTGGGATAGAGGGAGGAGTGTGGCTGGATCGAGAGGAGACGAAGAACAGAGGGTAATGGTGGAGTTCTCTATAAAGAGGAGGTGGAATTCTTGAATTCTTGAAGGGCTCAGAAGAGGAAGACACTTATGGTTTAAAAGGTCCTGCAGTTGATGAGTGGAAAATACAGTTATTGGTTGGAGCAAAATAAGTTTTAGGGCTTCCTTAGTTATTTCTGCTGCTGCTGCCAGTGCTCAGAGGAATGGTAGCCATCCCCGAACCGTAGAGTCAAGCTGCTTGGAGAGGTATGCCACCGGCTTATAGGAGGGTCCAATTGGTTGAGCGAGGAGGCCAGTGGTGATACCCTGTCTTTTATCCGTAAAGAAGTGAAAAGGATGGTTAGGGTTAGGAAGAGAAAGAGTGGGAAAAGAAGTAAGAGCATCCCTGAGCTTGTAAAAGGAATTGGCTACTAGTTTAGGGGAGGTAAGGGGCCCGTGAGGAGTCTCCTTAGCTGCCTGGTACAAAGGTTTAGCGAGAAGTGCAAAGTTAGGAACCCAATGCCTGAAAAAACCTGCCAGACCCAGGAAGGAAAGGAGGTAGTCCCCTGTTTCAGGTGGCTGCAAGTCACGGAGAGCTTGAATCCTGTCCGTTGTCAGGCTTTTAGAGATTGGAGTGAGAAGTACACCTAAATAGGTAACTGAAGAGGTAGTAAGCTGGGCTTTGGCTGGAGAGACTCGATAGCCTGGGACCCCAGGAAATTGAGGAACTGAACAGTGTGTTTGGGAAGCCTTAAGTGATTAACTGTATAGGAGGAGGTCATCCACATACTGTAAGAGCGTGCTATCCCCCAAGTCACAAGCAGTTAGGTCCCATGCCAAGGCCTGCCCAAAGAGATGGGGACTGGCCCTGAAGCCTTGGGGTAGGACTGTCCATGTCAGCTGTTGAGACCTAAAGGATGTAGGGTCTTCCCACCAATGGGAACAATGGGAGAGAGTTTTAGGATTTTCTCTAGCAAGGAAAACTTGGGCAGTAGAACAGATAGAACAGAAGGTGGGACCGGAGTGGATGTCCCAAAAAGCCTGAATATAAGGAATTTGTACCCATTTCCCTGTCAGGCTACAGAAGTTATCTAA